ATGGAACGGAATTAGAGAGGAAGTAACAAACATCTTACTTTGTGCATTCATCTGATCACTCTATTTCCCCCATATGGGTAAGTGCACTTGTAATGATGATATACTGCAACATTTTATGCCACATGACAGAAAACTCAAGATGAATAAAGTACATCTGCACAGAAGCACTTAAGTAGACTGGCCTTGACTTTACGTCCATTTTGCCGGATTCTCCCAAACCCAGGAGGGAGTTCTAACATTGATGTTCAATAGATGCAGACCAGAGTGATGGGTACATCCATCTCTGAGCCAGAATAGATTTTTTGGCCCGGGGAATATCCCTTCTCACATCAGATAATGACCAAAATGAGATGGAATAAGAAATACCAGCAGCAACAAGTTGTGTTGTCCACTTCGGGCTTTGCTGAGGGATTTGGTCAGGAGACAGGGTGGTGGCTGGAGTCTTGTACTAATGAATAATCCATAACATTAATGATCTGACGGGAGGCCTTGTCATAGTTAGTATGTGCTTTGCTCAGACTGATCACGGTAAGACGTGATATTGTGATCATCATGTATTTGTGCATTAGTGAATACATTGTAGGGATATTTGATGGTTTTAGTTACAACTAGAGTTCGACAATCTCATACCTCCATGACATGTTTAGTGCTTTCGTAAAGCTTATGCATAGTGATGATCACATAAATGGCTTACATTTACAATCCTGCTCATTAGCAAAATTTTGATACAAATTATTCACATAGCCCCTACCTAGTAACATACAACACACTGCATTTATTATATCATTTGATCATATTCTCCGCCCAATGACACGGTTACCTTAGAAATAAGGCTATTCTAGCGTTTCCTCATGAATTATGCAAATGAGGTCCTGATTTGAATAAATTATGTTTAGTGATGTTCGCCTTAATTGAACTTCCAAGTATGGTAAGTATTAAATTCACAGCAGTTACCACCATAAAATTGTACCAATTTGCCATTGATTATGCAAATTAGGTCTTCATTTACATAATCAATATCTACCAATGATCTTGTTGTTCTCAATTACATATGTCTAAAGTGTTTCATAGCCCTAATATGGAATACAGCAGATTTATAGAATTTCCTCATTAATTATGAAAATTAGATCCTGATTTGCATAATTGTATTTTAATCATGTCAAGCATCATTTCAGCTACCTACATACCAAAAATCATGAGGATCTCATTAATTATGAAAATTAGATCCTGATTTGCATAATTGTATTTTAATCATGTCAAGCATCATTTCAGCTACCTACATACCAAAAATCATGAGGATCCATCAAACAGTTGTTCAGTTATCCTCTTTTGAATATTTTTAAAGAAGCCATCCTGCAGTTCCAGAACAAGCCGCTAGGGGGCCCAAACTCATGTCACTTCTTCCCAAGCACGAGAGCTACCTATCATCCAAATTTCATGACCCTAGCATGTCCAGATCGCGAGATATCAAAACCGGAAGTTGCGCTGCAGTACCAAGGGAAGCCACTAGGGGGACCAAAATCTAATCATTTCCAGTTTTCGTCACACCCTACCAACACACCAAGTATGAAACCAATCCATCCAGGCGTTCTTGAGTTATCTTGTTGACCAACAGACAGACAGATAAATGCAACTGAAAATATAACCTCCATGACACATATCATGGAGGTAATGATGGTATCATCATTATCCCTGCATAGCTTCAATGAAACAGTGAGGCAGGCCTTCATTGTTATTTATTCTCTTGTCTGTTGCTGTTTTGGCCCCACCCACATCTGCAGTGTGGGGTTGTATCTGTATAGCCGGTATAATGTATTACACCCTTGAACATCTATCTCTAAACATTGTTTAAAGCTATCAAATGATAATGCCCCTTCTGACTATTTCCTGTTCTTTTCTGAGCTGGTACATGTATTAGGTACTTAGTTGTTGGTACTTCAGTTTGAACACAACTGATTTTTAAGAACAGTTGTAACCAGTGTTCTGTTGTTTGTGTACAGGAGGACAACCTTGGGTACAAGATGCTGCAGGCCATGGGGTGGACAGAAGGGAAGGGTCTGGGAGCTAATGAAGAGGGTATCACTGCACCTGTCAACAAGTAAGGAGACTGCATATAATATACATTGTACCTCCACATGAGTAGGGATGTATTAATACATGTATGAGTCTGTGTACATGTATCTGTGTTTCAGCTATAGGTAGTTAGGTAAAGGTGCTGAAGTTACATAACACAATGTATGTTTATTTAATTCTTCTTTAGTAACTATCACAGTGGTAAATTATCTTCGTGTGACGATAGTGCTTGCTCGGTTGTGGGGGCCAATATGTATCCATAAATACATATTATGTACATGTAGGTTATAGACATGAACATAGGCACTCCCTTTAATTAATTAATAACTAATTATAAACTCTTAATTTCACATAGGGGTCAACAGGCGATAGAGAATGCTGGGTTGGGAGTGGACAAACCCTCGGAACTTTCTAAAGAAGATGACGAGTACGAAGCCTTCCGCAAACGCATGATGTTAGCCTACAGGTTCAGACCAAACCCTCTGGTGAGTATGGGCATCTACCTTGTTCAGACCTTACATTCATTTTAATGTTAATGTTACCCACTCATTTACTTGTTGGTGTCCCTTTTTTCTACCAGACATATTATTAATGATATTCTCAACTGAACTTCTGTTGTTGTTTTTTACAGAACAACCCCCGGCGGCCGTACTACTGAACCTGATGAAGAATTTTGCTTCCAGAAAGTAGTTATCATGCGTCAGCGGAGAGATGCATGGAACATACTGTGGGATTCATATACAGGATTATATTCATTTTATAAAGTTGACACTAAATGATAGTCTGGTATAAGAGGCATATCATAAGGCTATGTTTGTCAAAATATCCCAGAATGAAATGTTGGATTTTCTTATCTCATTCTACATGTACTGACAACTTGATTGAATGAAATACTAGTAATGTGAAAATTTGAGATTGGCTATAGCTACAGGAACAATGTAGCACATTGGGGGAGGGTTAATTCTTAATGTAATAATCATACATGTACTATAAATTTTGTATTGTCAGGGATGGAAAAGCTGCATGTGTTATTAGGTTTCTGACTGGGCATGTGATTTTTATGCACCACATCAGATCCATGTACTGTACCAATTCTGGAGGAATGTATCTTGAACATTTGTTTGAAAATTTCTAACTTTGCTTTTCATTGTACAAAGGGTATGTTAGACATCAGTCAGCAACTAATACATTGTATAGCCAGCTTGATAATATATGGTAAATGAGTTAAAACCATAGTTTTGAATTGTACAACTTGTGTTCCCATTTTGTAATCTTTGTTACTTAAAACAGATTTAAATTGTGAAAAAAATTAGTGATACTTTCTTCTCACACATAATAACTACATTTTTAAACCTTGCTTTACACAAGACTACAATTGCTCAGCATTTTTTGTGACATATCAAATTAGCAAAAATTCTGTATCACTTTTCTATATACAGTAGATCAGGATTCTATCGACATTATACTGTAAATTCAAACAAGTGATAGAACACATAAAGGATAAGTCACTGGGTGTAAATGAACAATCAAGTTCCATTTGACAATGTATGTATGGTGTAAAGTGCTCTTTGTAGACATGTCCACAAGATCTAGGCTATATGTGTATGGGTAATAGGTCATTAAGATTGACATACGATGATAGTCATGTAGCACCAGGTGAGTAAACTGAATCTGACTTACTGTCTTCATAGTAATGACAGCCTGGTATATGGGGGACAAATTCCAGGCTCCAGATTCACAGTTTAAAAACTGTATTGATTGAAATGGGGTTACAGATTCTGTAATACATCTGCTGTTGGTACCCCTTCATTCTAGAAGGACTTTTCTAAATCCAGAATCATACTAGAAATGGCATATGGTTAGGTTATTGTTGTTTTGTCCTACTGGTTTTGTTGTTGTTGGTTTTCAGCAAATGTGATCAAAAAGAAAACTATGTTAGCTTGAATTACATCATTTCCCAAAGCTACTTCAAGGAGCAGCATAAGTACATGTAGTAGATTTGTGAACTTTTTTTTTCCAGGACAACATCAAAGCTAGTCATATTGTACTGTCAGAAAATCATGTCATCTTCATCATTTTGGTTGCAATTTTCTCGGTCTACCTCCATGGTTGCATAGATGGCATCACATTTGTGCAGAAAATGTGATTTCTGTTTCCGTCTGATGGCAATGCTAAAATATATATGACACATATGATGGTAAACAGGGGACAGTAGAGACAGTGGCATTTTAAATGGAGAGATATCATACATGGGGCAACTTTATGTTTTTGACACTGGATCTTGTCAAGTGTTGTTACATGGGATCTGGAGGCAGGTCTAAAAATAGTTGTTGCATAATATAAGAGGCATTAACAGTTATACTGGGTCCAACTTTTCTTCAGTGCCTACTCTTAACATACTTTTAGCCATATGACGTACTGTACGTTTCTGGATCTTTATTCAATAATTGTGTTTGATGTGGGTTTGATGTCCTATTTTCAAACCATGTATTTTGTTAGTCTTGATCTGCCTCTTTTCAGTTCATAAACTGATAGTAATGAAAAGCTTCTGTAGCCACCACAATTCTTGTATGATCGCAACTATTTTGAGTGTTTCCTTGTTAAGATTGAAAGTTAGCTTTTTGTTGTCATTTACATTTTTCTATCTTGCTGGACAAATAATTGGTACCCATGCATGTTTAAATTGTGGCAAACCATTTTGTCTTTGAAATAAAATTTTGGGACTTCAAATAAAGATGTTGTGTATGATTTTTTTGACCAAACTAATGTGTTCTAAATATAGGATGAATGGATGGGTAATAACGGCCTTATGGTTAGGGTTGTTCACTGAATGATCCAGATCCGTAGCATGCCCCAATGTTGTGCCCTTAGGAAAGCATATATTGTCATATAAGCCATAAAAGTGAGATGCAAATAATTCATAAGGCTAGACATCTTTTTTTGTATTCTTACACCACAGTGAGTATTGTTACATGTTGACCCACATATCTCAAACGTCCATTAAAACTACATAAACTTTTGAGTACATGTATTATTAAACAATAACTGTTTAACTATGGAAAAAATATTTGTCCTACCACTTGGCTATTGGCAGGCTTTAGTCCAAGAATACTCTTATCATCCTACATTTTGCATTAGAGCACATTCTCAACAAGGCAGCATTTATTTCACATTCAGTCAAGATCTTACCAGTAACCAAGGAGCAATCCAACATTAAAGCCAGCCCATGACAGAGATGGATGTTCTTATAGTGATGTTCTTAAACCTAAGGCTGAGCTTAAGAATGTCTTAGCATCAGTACTGGAAAAGTAAGTGGTCATAAATACTGAAAATGGTCGACATTTTTACATGCATCTGACAATCGGTGCATCGTGGTTTACATTCTAACAGACTTGGTACATATATCAGTACCAGAAGCATCTGACAGGTTTCTTTTCTGGTTTCTTGATTCCTGCATACGTCAAAATTTCATCCTCGAATGAAGCCAGTGACGGGACGTATGTCCTTCGGGCTGCTTCCTCGGAGAGTGTGTCCTTTTCAGTTTCTGAAATAGATGGCAATACATTTACTGGCAATATTTACTAAATTGCTAAGAGGCAGACAATGAACTATGATTAATGACCAGGAATAAACCATCTTGAGATAAATGTTCATTCAAGGCCCCGCCTATGTACCATTCAAGTACATTGTATTTACCTCAGCAGGAAAAAGATTAATAGTAATAATACACAACAACTAACCCTTGTAAGCCTCGGGAACGATCCCGTCCTCTCTGGCCGTTGCCTCAGGCGGGATGGGGATGATGCGTCCTGTCCGTGTGGACACTCTCACCTTCTCTCCATCCTCTGTAAACCTCCACTCTACTTGTGCAGGTTCACTAGTGGGGGAACAAAAAAAGGTTTCTCATCTGTGAGGATGTCAGAAACGTGGTGTTATGAGTACAGCATTTGCTAGCAAGGAAAAAGATAGTGAATGTGATCACGATCCATGAGTAGTTTGCACTTATGTGTTTTTACACTTCACTTAGGACAACTTGCAGGAGAAGAAGAGATCTCACTTGTCTGATGGATCAATCAGTGCAACTTCCCGGTACATGAGTGGAGCTTCACTTCTCACCATCTGCCCTGGGTAGTCTTTAGCTGGGTTCTTCCCTAAGTATCTGTAATGCTAGATACACATGATAGGGCTTGATAAGATTAAAAAAAGGCTTTATAATAATATAAAGGCTATTACTAAACTGAATGTTGAACACATTAAAACTTGCCCACAAAATGTTTAAAACGCTGCATATGTTTGAAATACAGTCCATTGAAAATGAAATGCAGATCAAGGATACCGACATGGCAGTCAGCAGCTGCCTGTTTCACATGTTTTCCCATTCTTGCATATAAGAGCATGAAACACTCTTTTGTAATCAGGACTCATTCATTCTTTGTATAGTTTGGGATACAGAAAATTATCAAGGCACCAGGACAGACTTTCGCTACTAGTATCTTGATTCTGGTCTTTTATACATTCTCATCAATGTTGAGAATCAAAAGATACATTACACATTAAGAAACACTAAATCAGGTCTTGATATAAAGGTGTACATGTACTAGTAAAGGAGAAGTTTAGTCCAGAGACTTACACAGTTGAGTCCTTCCACCACAACCCAGTTCCTCTGCCTGATGATTTGGACAACTTTTCCTTGTTTTCCTTCATCACGACCTCTTAAGATCTGGACCTGAGAAATATATATGAGAAGGCACTATTCAAACACATTGACAATCTCCTGTAAATATGTGTAAAATACTCAGTCTGTTACATGTAGCTCAAAAGCTCAACATTAGTGTCAATGTTTCCACATATCAAAAGAGCCACCTGGAGTCTGCTTGAGGTACTGCATTACAAAGATGCCAGTACATATACATGTACTAGTATTCAATGTTAGACTGGGTCTGCCATTTACAACTGCAAATACTGTACCAAATCCCAGTACACTAGTGCCCCTGTGGTAGTATATGCACATATCAGTAACTTGAAATGTCCTTTTCCATATCATATTCAGAAATTTGTATCTGTTGATTCTACAGTCAATTCTTCATTCACAAGTCAATACATGTCATCATGTACACATGTATATAGCTAATATGTTATACATTTGACATGAGCATACTAACATTCAAGAGACTCTATTACTAGTATACTGTGGGCAATGCAGGGGGAATTCAAATCCTTGTCAAGATAATTACCTTTTCAAACCTAAAATCATTTTACTAAGTACTTAAATAAAAAATTAGCTTACTAGTACATTTGTACTCTAGTCCTACAGTACATGTAGATATGAGAGGCACTTTATACTTCAACTTACAATGTCTCCCTTTTTCACCATCCAGTTCTCATCCTTGATTGGTTCTACCCAGACCCTTTTCCTGGGTCTGTCTGGTTTGTTTGCCAGTTTGTGCCCGAGGCTCCCTGGTCTGTTCATGCCGTATCTGATGTACTTTGGCACATATTCCGCCTCCTCTTTAGTCCAGGTACGAGCCGCCATGGCCAGCAGTTGGGTAAGTCGTGGCATTGTCAAAGCCTAATGTTACTATCCAAATGACTATGCAACAAGAAGTCAGAGATCCTGAAATTCAAAAAAATAATAAACAGTCAAATCAATAACTTGATACCTTGAAGCTAGCCAGAACTTCACAACATAGTTACGCGTATACAGGACACTCTCAGACTGGTTAATATTTGTGTTACATACGATGATGCATCCATAACTTTGATGTGTAAATGGTGAAATATTCACAACTATCGGTCATGGTGACGGGTCTGCCTATTTACCGGAATACACCGGAAAACACAGTTAAACACCGGAAAACACCGGAAAACACATATAAGAGGCTAAAATCTACCGGAATACACCCTGATATGATGAGATAACATACCGAATTGCTGTATTTTGACATGAAGTAACGTGTATATCGCCGCGGGAACAAGAAATCGTTATGAATTGGCGATCGGCGATCGCGGAGGCGAGCCGACCAGTCGCCATGTTTGTTTACATTGCCGACTACGAAATGTTTGTTTAACGCGATCGCCGTACAGAAGTGAAATTTACCGAAATGAAGAGGTCTTTGATGCAGGTACCGCAAGTTGCTACATTCTGGCATGAAATAAGTCGTATATGACTTTGTTATATGACGTTGGGAACAAGAAATCACTATGAATCGGCGGAGTCGACCCGGCCAGACGCCATGTTTGTTTACTTAGCAGCCGGCTATAACGCTAGTGAACCTTTGTCCGTCACTTTTTCTCAGTGACAATCATGTGACGCCAATTTCTAAAAATGATGAACCGTTTTTCTTGTCCTATTATATTATGGATCTTTCGTCCTCGTGGTCATGGGTGTTTGGTCCTCGTTACGTTGGATCTTTCGTCCTCGTTTAGATGCTTGTTTAAGCAGCAGAGACAACAATGTTACTACATAGCCACACGTGTTGCGGCCTCGATTAGTCGCAGACGCTGCCGGATCCACGCTGCGCTGCCGATGTGGGCAAGCCACCGGCTCCTTCGATACCTTCCCGCCCTAGCCAACTCTCAGCTCAGAAAACTGTTGTTTTTTTTACCCCAGTTCATCATTTTAAATTAAGCAGAACATCTGGACAATTTTTCTAGTGATATTCGGCAGGAATTATTCATGTTAGAACAAGGACCTACTGTCTACTCGCTTCCTAAAGTTTGGCTTGCGACGCACACGCAACGCCGGGCGTGTTTGTTGTCGAATTTCCAGCAGCAAATATCATCAATTCTTTCACAATCAAGAAGACTACTTCAGCAATCAGCTATATAATGAAAGCTATATAGTAAAAGACTTCATATGTCGTGTCAACAGGCGATTGGAGTAAAAAAACGATTGGTTTGTGCGGAAACATCAGTCCCTTTATGGCTGGTCTGAATGCTCTAGCTCCGCACTGTATACAAACAAACGCTGGAGAACAATCTTCTTTATATTCGGCAATTTTCGAGATTCTTCGGAAACCAATCACAGAGGCTCGGTTATAGTCGGTGCAGATCGTGTTTGTAACGAAGATGGACGAAACTGATTGGAGCCGCCCGACTAGACTAGTCGGCGCCAGCGGCGCCCGGCGGCAACTTCTTCAAAGGGAAACGCCTGTCAATCAAGTACATGTACGTGAAGCCACGCTGTGGGAAAAGTACGCGCCCCCCAAAATGTATCAATAGATTCAGTTTTATTTCTCAAACAAACAGTCACAATATCAAACTTAGCTACTTTTACTATAGAGTCCAAACTGTAGTGGTTTCATCGGCGAAGTACTCTGGTCGCAATTTCGTGCATTTGATTGAAGAAAATTGTTGATGCCGCGGCGTGCCGATGTAACACGTTACGTGTTCGACCGAGTTTGTTTACTGGCCGGGCGCAGGTCATTGACCTTCGGCTTGCGTTGTTCCGGCGGCTGAGTGGACTCGAAGAGCAAAATGTCTGGCAGTTTTAGCGTCCGATTTTTGTTTGTATATCATTGAAAATAACGCTAATTTCCACCGCTACATAACGAAATTCTTGTGAATAAATGTATAACTCAAAAAGTCTTTTGGGGAAATAAATATTCTTATCCGGATTTTTGGTGTATTTGGTGTTCTTTATTCATGATCGAATGGTGCCGAAGTCAGCGTACCCTGACGCTCATGAGCGATTCGCGATCGCCTAAATATCGCTGAAGAGAACATGTTCAGATCCTGGCGATTATATTTTAGATCGACTACGATAAAACTTCAGGGCTGTCCTCGGCAAAATCAGATGAAATTTCAGTGTCAAGCTTTGCAGGAAAAATGCCGCCGCTCGCTGACGCACGCACTCGCTCTGTGCGGGTCATTGACCTTCGATTTGCGTTGCTTCCGGAAAATGTCTGGCAGTTTTATTGTCGGATTTTTGCGCTTTTATCCAACAGACCGACCTCGTAGCAATCATTCACTGGCATCCTATGCAACTATCTTTCTTCCAACTAGTTCGGAGTTGTGTGCACTGTGTATGGGAACCGCATCAATCTGAATAATCCATTCTCTTCTGTGATGGCGCTAAACAAACATCGTAGTCCGCAATGTAAACAAACATGGCGACTTGTCGGGTCGCCTCCACCGATCGCTAAATTATAATGATTTCTTGTTGCCGGGTTCCTGCGGCGATTTACACGCTATTTAATGGCAAAACACAGCAATTTGGGATGTTATCTCGTCTAAGCAGGGTGTATTCCGGTAGATTTTAGCCTCCTATATGTGTTTTCCGGTGTTTAACTGTGTTTTCCGGTGTATTCCGGTAAATAGGCAGACCGCATGGTGACCGCTATCACCGGAAACTGCTAACACCGTGAACATGCATGTGAGCTGAATTACATATATGAGTTCCAACTGTGAGCATAAAATTTTCAAAACACCACAATAAAACAATACCTCATTTTCCCTACTACCAGGAACTGCAAGTGAAATGACTGGCTTCGTGGGCCTTTATTACACTACAATAAATCGCTACAAAACTACTAACGTTACAGACTGTACTATGTAGAGAGACGAGTGCCCCCCCCCCACACACACACACCACTGTGTCACCAGGCCTAAAAGCCCTTATATGGAATGCAAATGTATGTTTACTACTTTTCCTAATTCATAAGGTTTCAACCTACAACATGAAATGAGCGTTCCATACATCAGCACCAGGAATACCGTAAAAATTGCTCACAAACCTGAGAAGTTATGTCAGGTCACAGTCATCTGGGCGCTGCCATGTTATTGAGTGGAAGAGTACATTTTGTGCACAGATTAGATTGTGGGGGTGATTTATCGTCTTTGCATTAACGAAAACTATATGAACAGAATATCGGTCATTTCTGCTGCTGTGTATGATATGTAAAATTATTTCTATTTGCTGATGGTTTGGGAACCTTCTCCTATTTACTAAAAGAATACTTCTAATTCATAGTTTCCCCTTTACCGAAATATACTATTCCAGAGTTCAAAGGTGACACCAAAGGTGACATTTCAAAGATCAACTGTATGTATGGTGGCAGTGTTAGGACGTCGACACGTCCTGATTTATTTTCCCGGAGCACTGCAGACTTTCCTTTCTCCTACCGACAGTTCACAGAAACCTCCCGCCATGTCTATGTCGTCTGCCACCGGCGTCTTCCTGATCTCTCTCCTCTCCATCCCGATCCTGTGGCTCGTGAACCACTCGGGGTTGATCGGCGGGAACCCGTGGGGAATCCTGGCGGCAGGGTACGCCTCCCTGGCCGGGATCCCCGCCCTCGCGTACTTCGTCATCCGCGACAAACGGGTCAAGAAAGACCCCTGGTTTTACGGTAAGGTCAACATGCGTTTCGCTGTGGTAACATACTCAACATATACCTTAATTGCATTAGATTTTATCACTGCCAATCAAGTGAAATCATATTTGGAGCCATGGTCCAGTTGGACGTTGACCCCAGTTCACACTATGGGTAGGACATGACTGACAGGTAATTGTTAACCTAGAACTTGTTGACACCAATAAAATGATTGACAGGTAACAGTTATTATTAATCAATTAGTAAAAAAAAACTAATTTGCTGAAGGTACTTAACACCCTGGTGATTTTCTATGTCTACAGTGTTCACAACTTTTGCCTTCTCCTCTGTGGTGGATCTGGTCCTGTGTTTGGAGATGGATGGCATGATATCAGGCTTTACTGAATTCTACATGAAGGAGGTACAAAATAATATGCTTCACTTTGTTTTTCCAATCTGTCCACAGCAGTTATTCCAGAACCTTTTTATCTATTCCCTTGTGTATACATGTATGCAAAATATGTTCCAATAATAGATTTGAGCTCTGTTCTTGGTACTTGTACTCTGCATAGATTAACTTGAATATGTCATGAAAATGGCAGCAGCTGACCAACAGGCCACCAAATCTATGCTGGTAGACTAACAGGTATTACTACTAAACTTGAAAACACTTATTTTGAATCCACCTAGGGTGAACCCTACCTAGGTACAGCCTATGGCATCATGATTTCCTACTGGGATGCTACTGCCCACTATTCCATGTACCTCATGATGGTGGCTGCCATTGCATGGAAGTAAGTATACATTTGTAGATTACTGGAAAATGCCACTGCACGGTTAAAGATACCTTCCTGCAAAGGCAGAGATTTCAGAAAGAAGATTTTTAAAAGCAAATGCCTGTATGTATTGAACATAACTTGGCTCCCAGATTGCAGTGATACATGTACTAAGTAGTAGTCATTTGGCAAAGACATGAGGTAGTGGAACTCTAGTATTGATATTGGCTCCTGTACTATATTGTCAATATTGTCACTCCCAATTCATCGTCTCAGGCAAACACGTTTCTTGACTTAACATCTGTGATGTAATTTTGTAGTTGCCCACTAGGCGGTGCTGATAATCCCTGTTGTTGTCTCTCCACAGTGAGCAGTACCGGGAGGTGGGTCTATACTGGGTGGGATCTCTTCTCCACAGTATGATTGTCTTCATGCCAGGAACATTCATAGGTAAGACCATACTAGCCTGTGTAATACAAACTCTGCCTGTATCATACACCTTTTCCACAGAGTTTATGGAATTTTGATCAGTCATCTAACTCAGGGAAGTTGTTTGAAAAAAAATTAGCCTACATGTCTCAATTGATGGCCAGTACAGAAGTTCTCCCAATGTTGAGTCGTTCCAGGCCGGGCTGGCGGCCTGCCCGCCTTAGCCTTGACCTACTCCCCCCCCCCCAACGGCACCCCTCGCGGGGTTATCTGGGGGTAACGAAGAAGAAGAAGAAGTGACCATAGAAACTTACATAAGACAGAAAAATGTGAAAGTATGACAGTTTATTATTTTTTTCCAAAGCATTTATTGATAATTCTTTTGCTTGATGATTGAAAGGTAAGTTTGCCAATGAGATTCGTCCGGCCATCCTGCTGAACATACCATACGTGGTGGTGCCTGTAGTAGCAGGGGTCAAGTATCTACAGAGCAGACAGGACAGCCAGGCACTTTCCAAAGAGGTATTACATTTTGTACTAGAAGTATGGTTAACTTTTAAATCTACTGTGTTCAACAAGAAGAATAAAGTGCACAGTTATACCTTTATGAGTTTTGTTGGTCTGCATTTGTTTTTTGGTATCAAATTTTTTTCTTTATTGGTATTTTTCTTTATTAGCATTTCCTTATACATTTTTGTACCACTTGTTGTTAGCCATTACTTTAAAGCCATGTTAAACCCCAGTACTGTGCAAGTAAAATGCAATAAAACTCAGTTCATTGGCTAGTTTATAATAAACATAGCTCATCTCTTTCTGTCTAGTTTCATAAGTGTAATATTGTTGATACTTTGTGACTTCCAGGTGAAGAAAGTGCAGGGGACCAGTCTGTTGAAGAGACCTCTGGATGTTCTGTTGATGTTGTTCTTGTTGGTGTCCATAGGAATTTCTGTCATAAGAGGACTGGTAAGTTATACCTACACATATACTGTGCCCTGGGCAAGAGGTCATTCATTGACCCAGTCACATACTGTAAGCTAATCTGTTGATGTGGTGGTCTTAGGTCATGTGTCTTAACCTAAAGTTCATGTTATATTATTGTCAATGCCTTACCGTCAGTAATGTAACGTGAAAATTTTCAGGCTGTCTTAGACTGTCCTTGGGAGGTGACTAAGACATACACTAAGGAGTATGAGCCTTACCTGGAGGACAGGACAGCATATCCAGTTATACAGGTGAGAATCATAAATGATTTATTTTAGATTAAAGTACAATGTATTTACCCTAGAAAAAGTGGGGTGTTGTGCTGCTCTAATACTCAAGGTTTGAGGCTGCTGTAGTGTCTGCTACAGGTACAAATCCAAAATACTGGTAATGTATCTGAATAGATTAACACTCAAATATAAAATGTATATACATAATACATGTATATAACATTACTTATCTTACTTCAAATGCTATTGTATTCACTGGAAGATTAGCTCTACATTGAGCTAAACTGGTTCAAGATTGTTTTCACTTTTCCCTTTACCCATTGATGTTATCCCTCTCCCCCACTGCCACAGATGTTAGTGTATCTGTTCTACTTCGTGCCGTACTACCTGGCAGCCATGTACGGTCTGGTCCAGCCTGGCTGTGTGTGGATGCCTGACTGGGCACTACTGTTTGCTGGAGCAGCAGCACAGGTAACAGACTGGGGTTTGACACTTATAAATATGAGGGCTTTTAATGAAGATTTCACATTAGTTCTAACGGTTTACATCATACCAAACTGCAGGATACATTTTCCAGATTTACCAACAAACAAAATACACCTCATAAAATCGCGTACAGAACCCACACATTGCAGAAAAAGTGGGTTCTTCATCTTCCACAGTTTCCAAAATTGCAGTCAAACTCACCTGGTTGATTATGATTGATTTAGAAGGCTGGCATTTGAAGTTGAAGTAAGTTAACAATAAGTTTCAAAATTACTTTCTGCATTATCATTATGGGTTCACCACACCACGAAGTGGTGTGGTGAAACCATATTGCTTTTTCTGGTGTTTCTTCTTCTTCTTCTCCTCCTCCTCCTTCTCCTCCTGCCATTTTTTAAATGGATTCAGCTTCTTCATTTTAGGGCCCAAGGTCCTGAAATTTGGTATGGAGGTACAGTGGGCAAATACCCTTAGGCGTTTTTTAAATTTTTGTGATACAGGCTTTTAGAATGGTTTTATTTGAGTTTTTTGGCTGTATTATAGCAAATGTATTACTGTGTCAGTGGGCCGTGTTAACCACATTTGGCATGAGTCATCACAATGGAATGCAGGGCATCAACCAATAGGCATGCAGCTTTCCTCTCTTCTTCTTGCTGATTGGCTGTTGGGATTTAACTTGATTAACACCTGCACAGACCATTTCCACCTGCACAGAGCATTTCTTGCTGATTGGCTGTTGGGATTTAACTTGATTAACACCTGCACAGACCATTTCCATACTGACAGTATGTCTGTATTCAAGTGTTTTGGTAGGTATTTCAAGCTTTCCTGCTCCAGCATTGGAATGCGGGGCATGAACGTTTTTTTTGAAAATCAACAGTTTGCATTATGCAATTAAAAATCCTAACCAATAATGTAGGGAATAGCTAGCCAACTGTTGTAGTCTTAGTTGTATGTTACTTCATATTATAGTTATATCAATGTAAATCATTGTTTTCCCTTGTGTTTCTCATTCTTTCCCTGCCATGACGTCGTAAAATGTGGTGAACCCATCGCTGTATTTGCTCCAAAGCAAATATTGGCCTTTCTAGTTATATTCATACTGTATATTATATCTTGTTATTGCAATTTGGCCTTTAAATTTGCAATGGAATGTACTATAAAAATGGATAAGTCTGTATGACTGACAGGCTTGCATATACATTACTAAACACCTTAACCAGCCACAGCCAACAGATTTCAAGTGCTAAATGTAGCTCTTCTTCTCCTGCACTACACTTAGGGCTCGCAGACATGATGCAAAGACGGTTATGGTTAACATCTTGTTATTGCAGGCTCAGTTCTCCCACATTGGCTCTTCGTTCCATGGACGCACGAGATTCACTCGGAGAGTTCCAGAGGCCACCAGCATGGAATTCTGGGTAATCAACCTCCTTCTGGCCATTGTACCTCAGATCCTGGCATATCGCTGTGTCAAGTACCCATCATTCTTTGCAAGAGGCAAGAGCCAAATTATGAATGGGGTGAAAGAATCCCCTTCCAAAAAGAAGGACTCCTAATGGGCAAATAGGTGCAATAAACACCTGAAGAGGCCTTTTGAATACTAGTAAATTGACCATAGTATTGAATTTGCATATTGTGGTTATGGACAGGAAAATACACTTCTGAAAGCCTTGACAATTGCAATTGTTGTCTATAATTTATGATAATTGTAATGGAAGTACCTGCAATGAATAATCATCAAGCACATATACCACATACATGTAGGATAATACTTCCTAAAAACTCCAAGAGACACATGCTTTCCTCACAATCACTGTCACTGTGGTGTTTCACTAATTGCTTAATACAGCACATGTAACTATTACAGCTGTTATGATCATCCTATCGGCTTCTTGCCAGCTCATTGTCTTCGTCAGAAGGACTATGAAATTGTCTCGCCGGATTGTGGGTGACTGCGGATTTAGCGAAATAACTCTTGAAGGCATTATTCGACGTCCATGATTTTTGGCAGGCAGATTACTGTTGTGGAGGCCAATGCCAAGTGCAAGTTTGGGCTTCGTGGGGGGTCCGTACGTCACTGCAGTGGACTTTTTTGTGTTTGTGGCTTGTTAGCAAAATAACTCGAGTATATTTAAACAGATGTTCATGATTTTTGGTAGGCAACCTACCATTGTGGAGGCCAAGGTCAAGTTCGAAAACGGGCCTCGTGGGGGGTCCCTATGTCGCTGCAGTGGACCTTTTGTGTTAGATATATAATGTACTACCCCCACCAATCTCTGCATTGATTCACATGGGGGACAGCTGTCCCCGGCCGCATCTGGTATCAATTGCTTACAATTGAGGGGCTGTCCTATAAATACTGGGGCGGGGGAGGAAAAAGGTGGACATGCGTCAGGCAGGTCATTCCCTAAATTGTAAGGCCAGACCAAGTAATTTTATGGATGACGTCCACTGGAGACCTTAGATTTATTGCAAAAGCGCGATAAAATACATGAAGGCCAGAAAAACCTGATTAACGTGCACAGATTTGGAACATACTAACTGTGGAAATACAAAGGTTAGGATGCAAATTGAATAAAAGAACATAGTGTAACAACAAACGAAAACAGCAATAAATCTCCCCCTGTTCTGATTCTTTCCTTTCATCACATCTTCTCATTACATTTTGCGACACTGTCGTAGAATAAAAAAAGGAAAAAATGAGTACAGAGATTCTTTTGTACTCTAGACCAAATTGATTTCTAGTATTAAAAAACGTTCCTTTATCTAGAACAATGTCCCTCTGACGAAGACATGAGATCTCCGACCTCTAGTTTTACATGAAACATTGTTCTCAGGAACAGGTAATGTACTTTGATGGCTAAACGAGACGTGATCATATATACAATATGTATATACATGTGTGGTTTTGAAAATTGTCTGTTCCCTGTACATGTATGTGTATGTAGCTGCCTTACTTCTCAGCACAACATCACTGCCAAATTACTTAAAATTGTGTGTTTTTTTTTAATCAGACAATTTATGTAATACGACTTTATGTGCCAACCATAAATGTACCAAACTAAGCCTTAGTGAATGTGCCCTATACACTGTCAGATTGATATTGAAAATTTACATTTTTGTAAATCGTCTTAGGTGTGTAAATCATTTGAGCTGTTTCTTGTGACAAGATACTAGTGATGTAAAAAAAAAGAAATGACTTAGACCACACCAATTCCTGGTTCTCCAATCTCTTCATTTTTTCTTTTTTGAAAAAATGGCGATTTCAAGCCTCTGGGAACTATTTACAAGATTTTTTTGTAAATTTATGCAAGATAAGAAACATTGTGCTGGTATGGTCTTATTATTTCTTTCTGAAAAAAAAAGATTTTACAAACTTTTAACCAGATGAAAGGCAGCTTAGATAGTAACTATTATCTTAGACTTTTGAGTACAGTATTATTTTAATAAGTGTGTGGTGCATGTGCTAAATATGTTATTTGAACATACCTAATTTCAATGATATGATTTGAAGGACAGTAATGTACTCATTTTTGTTGTATGTATTAATTGTTATGTTAATATAAATGATAGTCACAATTGACCTTAGATGCAATATAATTATGTAGGAAGGGAACATAATTGTTGTGACCACAGTGAATTTGGGTTAAAAAAATGTACATCTAATGTATCTAATGTGTTGTAAATTTTGTTGTTTATCATTGGTGTGCTAAAAAATCATTGTAATTTGATCATGTGCAGCTTTCATTGGTTGGAAATGTATATTTGCATTGGAGATGTACTAGATGTTTTGAAATAGGAAATGGTGGCTATGAAAAGAAACAAAATTGTATTTATGTATTATATATTAGGGAGCCTCTATGCATAATTTGAGTGAGAAATATTATTTGACATGACTTTAACAGATCTTGGACTTGAATTTTGTTGCTAAACTTTTTTTCTATTTGGAACTTATATTTAGTGTACTTTAATCAATGTTAAGATATGAAAGCAGGCATGTTAACTGAGGTGAAGCATGATGCTTTTTCTTTTGTTACGCCACTTTGTAGATGGCTTAATTAAAGTGTGCTAAAAGTGTGGTGCTTTTTGCAATATCTATAAATGTATGGCATACACGTATGTGTACACACACACACACACACACACACACACCTTTAAGATACTCCCATATTACGTAGCCATGTATCACACTGACGAAATACCCAGGGTGTACGCGTGTGCCTGGACAGACTAGACACCGGAAGGGAGTGTCAGATCTAGAATTGTGGAAGATGGAAGGTCAGACGCATAACGAAATGATAAGCATCTCATGCACTGTTCAGTCAAACAATCTTCGTACATAACGTAAAACGCAACCAACAACTTCCAACTGTTCTGGTCTGAAATGTAACGCCCCGGAACATGTTGACGGAACTGTCTTGTTGTTACAAACTTCAGACTTACCTGTCGTCTATTGCTATTTAGGCAGACCAAATGTACAATGCAGACGGACCTGGAATTTTAGTAAATTTTAGTTTAATTTGTGGTGTAAATCCGGCAGAAACATATCATTAATACATGTACATGTATTTCTATATAGCTTAGTTAACGCGTCGCCTGGAGCTTGATAGTAACTCCAGGTGTTACGTACATACCGGCATTGAGCTATATCTTCGGTAAACCACGCTATTCATGCAGTGAATTCATTTGCTTCAGGGACCTAATTATAAAGGCAAATACTACTAATACTTCACCAGACAAACCAGTTCTGCAGAGTCCCTGAGTCTGAGTCAGAACAAAACGTCCGACTGGGGCTCACCACGTTCAGCCAAAGTTCTGGGATATAAGGCGGTATGTTGATATTTTCGGTTAACTTAGCATGTATCCACCGGATATTACATACATGTATATCCGCCACTTTGATAAAACCAAGGACATTATACACATAATGTCCTTGATAAAACGTAAGCCGAGTTTGCGCAAGAAGGTTTGGTCTTGGTTTAAAAGATCCCTCATGCCGCACATGGCACCCGCTGGGCCTCAAAAGATTTCTAGGAGTGCGCGCATTTTACAGACGTTGCATTATATGTCTAGTAAATGCATTTTCGGGGTGGCCTGGTGGATATGTAGACGATGCAGTGTATCAGAAAATTAATGTGACGAATTGATAGAAAAGACAAACGATCGGATCGCACGAGCCACATTTGTGAATTGAGGTCATTTGCGACTCGACTGAGCAGTCTCTTTTTTCTACCTCCATGGTCTGACTAGTTGTCTATCGCACTGCTTTCAGGAGATTTTTAGTCTGTATTGTGTATTGTGGCTGTGCTATCACCCATCTTTTAAGACCTTTTAACTTTTTAAAGTCATGTAGCGTCATTGGTTTTACATGACGTCTGGAAATCTCAGATCATCATTCTTCAAATATTTACAGTATTAAACTACATGTATGATTTGTAGTGTTATAATCGGCATTTATCGCGGTAGTCAGGAGGCTCAGAAGATTTTGCCGACTCTCACCCCTTACGATCGGATTTAAAGATTTTGTCGGGGCAATTAACTCCGATGACTGTAAGGTTCTAGAGCGGACCAAGGCTGTGATGAAAGCTCATTGAGCAGACAAGTGCCTGATGTTGAACTTCGTTCTGTAAAAACCGAAAGGGGCGAGCAGGTCACAACCGGGAATCGAACCCAAGTTGTCCGCTTGGCGGTCACCAACGCTAACCATTACACTAAAAGGTCGCACGACCGTTTAGCATGGTCAGTTAGCGGAGGATAAACCCCACTGTTACACTACTCCCCCTTTTCTTTCAAGATTCGTCCTCGAATCTTCCGAGTCCGACATCCCTGGAGCTGCCACACTTATCCTCAGTGCCAGTACTCACAGGGCCGGCATGGGAACCACTGTAAAAACCCCACTGTTACAGTTCTTATAGCTTCTCTCCTCACTTTTTCCCATAAAGCATGCCTAACTTAACTCATACCCGGGTGTCCTACTATATAATAGTATCTGCCAAACACTCAGCCGCTCACTCATTTAATACGTTTCACGTTTTTTTAGCCCGGCTGTGGGCTGTTCAAGTTGGCCAGAAAACTGTCGTGAAATCTGCTATAACAAAAGTTACACCCGTTTTGCGATCCCCTGGCGATGCATTATGGGAGAAAACGAGGGCGTGGCAGTCTGAGTTCAAAGATGATTCTAGGCTAGAGACGTGCCTCTACTTTTGTGACATGGTGTACGATATAGCTAGCCTCCGCGGCGTTTGTTGAACTTTGAATAAAGGAATTTCCACTAACAAGGTAAGTAGTCGCAAGGAGGTTCAATCACAAGTTACTACAGTCTCGCTAATACCCCTTGCTACATACCGTTAAACGGGCCGGTGCTGCTTAGACAATCACAATCTCATTATAAATTATACCGTTAGATATATTAGGTCGCGAATGAATTCTAATTGACAGTAGTCAGTGACGAGACGATGAGAAATACATATTTCTGCAGTCCACGTAAACACAACGTCTGAGAAGAGAGGTCGGGTTAACGGGCTATCCTACTCACCGCGCGGGGGCGGCGGCTTCTACCATTGTCCAATGGGGGACTTCAAATTTGAGAGTATACATGTAGGTTGTTAATAATACACTATTTAATAACTTTAATGCTACTATTAAAATTGCAACAAGTTTAATCCCTTCCCAGGATTCCATTCATACATTTCATCACTAATATGTAAAAGACCTCAATCATTTTCTTATTATTTCACTAACATTTACGGGGCCCATTATGTTACATATATAACATTGTTGACGTTTAACATTTATGCCCTTGCACTGCACAAAATATGGTAGTTCACCAAGTTAGGCCCTTTGTGCTTTAGGCTAAAGTTCACCTTGGCCCATCATTAGCCTTTATACCGGATGTACAAACCACTGACTTTAATTAACCTAAAATTATATCTCTGACTCACTCACTCGGAGCCTGCCATAATTTCCAACTACAGGTGTTACCAGTTACCCATTATGTTTGTACCATATTGGATGACAAGTTCCTTGAAGATTTATTTTGGGAGTGATAACATCGGTTTATGTTCAAAATAAGGCCGGATTTACCAAACTAAGGCCACACCAATTTAATTTGTTGGTTCTCGGATTCGCCTCTTCATTTTTTTCTGATTTGCAAAAAAAAAAAAAAACTGGTCCTGAATCAACTCAAAAATGCTCATATTTTGCCCCCAACAGTTGAGGAAAGTCCTTTTCTTCCTAGTTGTTACATTTTTTTTCCATCTATCAATGCAGTGGTTTGATTAAAAGTTCAAAATTTATACTTTAAATTTTAACCCAGCCTTTTTTGGTGACTTTATGGCTCATATTGTAGCATTTGGGGCTATAATAGGATGCCTAGACCTGTTTTTATTTTTATTTTTTTTCGCCCTGTCGCTTCATACTTTTTCTGAAAAAATCCGAGAACCAACAAATTAAATTGGTGTGGCCTAAGGGATCTGTCAGTATGGTGACACACAGTACCTGTACTGTCGCCATATATCGCCATTTAAACATTACCTGACTTATCTTGCATTTATTGTCATTGGTTATACAATTCCTATAAGTTGATTATGGAAAAAGTATTTTGCCTAATTTACCTTTCACTGTGTACCTCTTTGCATTTTTTAAGTTCATCAATTTAATATGTCTTCTGTTAAGGACAGCCACCAGGAGGCCAAAAATCAACCCCAACCTTTGTCTTCCCAAGGCCTACCCAAATATCACATATCACCACAACCCTTCTAGACCTGCTTGAATTATGCTGACCACAAATATCTGGAAACACACACACACACACACACACACACACCAAAAAAATACTTTTCTACACAAGGAGGCCAAGTATCAGTGATTAGTATTATTAAAGACCTCAACTATGCACGAAGCTGATGGCATTTTGCCTTGTTCTGCCTCCCTCCCCAGATGTCCACCATGATGAAAGCACTGCAGTGGGATGCCAAAAGCGAGAAGCTGTCGATGGTGGAGGTTCCTGTTCCAACTGTCACCAACCCGTTTGATGTAGTTGTGAAGGTTGGGTTTGTCGGTGTGTGTGGAAGTGATCTACTAGTGCTAAGGAAAATCCACCCGGCTGCAGAAAAGGTCATTTTAGGTAAATGCACTCAGAAAAGGCAGTCTACCAGTTCTGAGTGAAGTACGTTCTATAAGTAGTCCGGTTGCCAAACCCCCGATTTTCGGAGAACCTTGCAATGCGGTCCATACAAAGTTTTTTTGTTGTTTCTATATCTCTGAGGTGTGCTCTTTCAGAATCTGAATGATGCCACTCTGTCATCATTGGGCAATTCGCACAATATGCAAATTAAGGTGGCCATTACTGAAAATCCAGTTTTCGTCAAAATCTCAGTAACTACTCATGGTATCAGAATAATTTTCGTGTCTATCCCCACTCTTTTGTAGGGA